CCCTACCCTACCCTACCCTACCCTACCCTACCCTACCCTACCCTACCCTACCCTACCCTACCCTACCCTACCCTTTTTTTTTTTTTTTTTTTTTTTTTTTTTTTTTTTTTTTTTTTTTTTTATAGTGAGGGGAAAATGCATTTACGCACACCCCCGCTGTTGGTCGGCGGGGGTAGTGTGGGACTACGGATTTCACTACCCACTAAAAACCCACTCACTGTTCCGATCCTGGTGTTTGCCGGAAGTCAATGGAAAAATCATTAAGACAGCTCATCATTGGCGTTCCGGCCACTTTTCCTCATTCGCTCTGAAAACCTCGTTCCTCCCTTGTCTTAATCTCCAAAACCTCATTGATAAAGCTGTATACAGTTTTATACTTTTCTTCGCTCTCTATCATTAAATCTATTATATTTTCCGGTGTTGCATTGGATCTAATCTGCCTTCTAAATTTTGCTCTCTCTTTTTCCCATCTCATGCAATAGAATCTGCCTTCTAAATTTTGCTCTCTCTTTTTCCCATCTCATGCAATAGAATATGGTGTGTTCCGGGGTGTCTTTTTCTTCGCAGTAATAGCAGCTGTCGTCGTTTTTCTTTCCGATTTTATTCGTATACGTAGCAAAACATCCGTGTCCGCTCAGAAATTGTGTCATGTAGAAATTCACAATTCTGTGCTGACAAGAGTGCCATTTAATCACGTTTCTTATTAACCGCTTTGTCCATTGTCCTTTTTCTTCGTTCTTATCCCAGCTTTCTTGCCATTTTCGTAGTGTTTCGTCTCTAACTCTTTCTTTTTCTTCCTTTCCTCTAGATACGCTTTTCGATATGATTACTCTCTCTTCTGCGAGTAAGTCGATCGGTATAATTCCCGCAATTACGTATGACGCCTCAGTTGAAATAGTCCTGTAACCCATGATTGTTCTTATGATCAATTTCCTTTGGACTCTGTACAAAGATTCTCTATATTTTTTGTATTTTAGAATCGGTGCCCATACCTCTGCTCCATATAATATAATCGACTGTGCTACGTTATTGTATAGCCTTCTCTTATAGCTTCCCGGTCCCTTGACATTCGGCAATATCCTTGTTAACGCGCTTGTCAAAGTCGACACTTTTTCGATGGTCTTTGTAACGTGTGTTCTGTAAGTTCCCCCTTTATCTATCCAGACTCCCAGATATTTCAGACTATTTCCAACCTGTATTTCCGTTCCTTCGATCAAAAATTTTACGTCTAGCAGATTCCCTTTACCCTTCAAAATTATAGCCTCTGTCTTACTTACTTCTAATTGCAATGCATTATCTTTGGTCCATTTCGTTATTTTTCCTAATGCCTCGTTTCCGTATTCTATTAGTTCCTTTTTGCTTTTTGCAATTAGAAGTACCGCCAGGTCGTCTGCGTATGCAAAGCTATTCCCCCCGCCTTTGATAGGGATGTCCAGTACCGGGTCAAAGAGGACATTCCACAGGATGGGACCGAGAACGGATCCCTGTGGAACTCCTTGGGTTACTCCTATTGGCTTCCTGTCTACAAATATCTTCCGATCTTCGAAGTAGCTGCTTATTATTTCTATCAGGTATGCGCTTATTCCCAATGCTTCTAGCCGTCCAATGATCTTTTCCCAACTAGCGGTATTAAAAGCATTTTTAATATCCAGAGCCACTAAGCCAACCCATTTTCCCTCATTATTTCCAGATCTCCTGATAACCTCTCCCACCGCCATTACAGCCGATTTCTGCTTCCTGAAACCAAACTGTCTGATAGATATTCCTTGTTTTTCTTCAAGTTCTTTTTCTAATCGGTTCTTTACTATTTGTTCGAAGAGTTTTGCTATTACATCTATCAGGCAGATTGGTCGGAATTTTTGCATGTCCATGTTCTCGGCTTTCCCTTTCGGAATCAAAACTACTTTCGCTTGCTTAAACTTTCTGGGCAGTTCCTTCTTCGTCATGATTTCATTGAGAATCTTCAAAACACTTTGCGTGCACTCCGTTACAACCAGCTTTATGGTTTCCGGGAGAACTCCGTCAATTCCTGGCGCTTTATTTTCCTTAATTCGATTATTAGCCTCGAGTAATTCCTCCTTGTTAATTTCGGGTCCGACCTCTTTAGTGTATCTTCTCATAGTTGTCTCATTACTTACTGGAAAAAGTTCCTTTGTTATTTCCATTTTCTTTTCGGTTGTTATTTGAAAAGGTAATGTAGGTCTCTTTAGCCTCTTTAAAGCAATTTGGTATCCATCTCCCCACGTGTCATTTTCCAATTCCTCTAATAGTTTCAGCCAGCAGTTCTTCTTCGATCTCTTAATACTTTCCTTATATTTCTTTTGTGCGTCCTTCAGATTTTTCTCTAATTCTTCTATATTTCTGTGTCCCGGCCTTTTTCTCGATCTTACCAGAATTCTTCTTCTCCCATTACATTCCTTTCTAGCTTCTTCTATTTCCTGGTCCCACCAGTACGGTTGTTCCGTCCTTTTCCTACTGCTCCCTACCATGCTTTCCTTTTGAAAAAATTTTATTCTCTTAAGTAGCTCCCTGTGGTTAAGATGTTCCAATTGTTCCTTATTTTCGACTAAGAGTTCTGCCATTTTGTATTTATTCAATTTGCTTTTCCGGTATTCTGTATTTTCCGCTTTTCTTCCCGTTATAATTTCGAAATATATAAATCGATGTAGACTAAACGACTCTTCTGTAGATACGTGCCAGTCTTTAACCTTTTTCGCCAGTTTTTCCGTTGTAAAAGTCACATCTATATACGACGCGGTATTTCCTCTCTTAAAGGTGGGTGTATTTCCTTTATTATTCACTGCCAGGTTATAAGAATCAATCAAAGATTCCCAGAATTGTCCTTTATTATCCGTTTTCGACGAGCCCCATCTTTGAGATTTCGCATTAATATCTCCTGCTATTAAAATTTTCTTATTCCTGTCTATTTCCTTAAAAATATTCTCGACCTTTTCCTTATATTTTCTAATGGGAAGATTTGGTGAAATGTAACATGCCACTACCGTGAAATATTCCATTTCAACAATAACGTATCCCTTGGCTTTTATTAATCTTTTAATTCTTTGTTTCCTATTTATTATTTTTATAGCCACATCTTTTTCTTCGTCCGTTATAAATTCGTTTTTGGAGGCAATTTTTTTATTTGGTTCGCTTATAATAACTAAATCTATGTTGTCCTTAATTATTTTCGCTTCTGTTACATCGTGTGATGCGTATCCCCTGCCAGTATTAATTTGTAGGACTTTCACGGTGACGTTGTGAAGCTTCCCTTTGCCTTGTCGTACTTATTCGCGTCCCACAGACTGCTCTGTGGTAACGTTACTTTCTCCCCGTTCTATCGAGATTCTAACCTCTTCTTCTTCTCTATTTTGTGTTGCTACTCCTTCTCTGTTTTTTCTAACCTCTTCTTCTTCTCTATTTTGTGTTACTACTCCTTCTCTGTTTTTTCTTACTTCTCCATCTTTGTTTTTTCTTACCTCTCCTCTGTTTCTTCTTGCCTCAATTATCAACTGTTTATAGTTTGGACATTTTACTTGATCTGCTCTGTGACCCTCAATTTCGCACTTTATACAAAATGCTAGGTTCTGGCATTCCTTAGCCCCGTGATCTTCTTTCCCGCAGTTTAAACATCTTCTTGTCAGTTTTTCTTTTATTTCACATTCGCTAGTTCTGTGTCCGAACTCTAAACAATTGTAACATCTATTGATGATAACCCTCTCCTTAACGCTGCATTCTGCCCATCCTATTTGAATTTTATATTCATTTATTAATTTCCTTGCGGCCTGTTTCGGTAATTCTACGATAGCAGTCAATTGGTCGTCTTTTGCTTCTTTTATTGCCTTAACCTCAATCTCCGACTCTCCTATTTTAACTACCTCCTTTATTCCTCGTATCACTTCTTCCTTCGTCGTGCTTAACTCCATTCCCAGAATATACACAGTGGTTCCGAAAGTTTTCATCGAGACATCCATTTCTTTACATTTCGAAATTTCATCGATCAAGTTTTTTACTTTCCCTTTTCCTTCCTGTAGGACCAATTGTACGTTTTCTTCGCCCGCTTTCCTTGTTTTCTTTATGTTAACCCCTAATTTATTAATATCCACTGTTTCCTTTACTTTCTTTAGCAGCGAGGCATACGTTTCCCCTTGGCTTTTAATTGTTACTACCGTCCCTTGTTCTTTTTTTGTGCCCCCATCTATTTCATTTGTTATTTTCCGTTGTTTTCCTGGGATCCTCCATTCTATTTCAATGTTGGTTTTCCTAAATGCGCATTCCAATATTTTTCTCACCATGTCCCTATCCAGACCTTCGGCTGCAGCCACTATTATCCTTTCCCTATTTTCCGCAATCATGTTATCCCTTAAGTGTATTACCTTCGTGTAAATTTTACCATAGTCGTATGGCTCATCCTTGATGTTGTGCGGTAGCACATATACATATTTCGTATTTTCTATCGTTACCCCACCGCATGTCGTTATTCGCGTTGTGGTCGCCAGATATTTTAGCTCCTCCTCCCCTTCCTTTACCAGTTCCCACGCCTCTGGAAATCTATCATTCACGATCTTCCCTAATCCTTTTTCTTTCCCTCCCGGGTCCATTAACACCGCAAGATCTTTTCCTCGGTCAGTTTTAATTGGATATTCAGTGACTTCTTTTGTTCTCTTGTACACTTCCTCCGGCCAATCGAAATTTAATAATCGTTCTACGTCATCGAAGGAATTAATATTTTCTACTTGTTGTTCCACGTCAACCGTGTCGAAATTGACCTGGATACCAATTTCCCTGGTCTTTTTTTCGTTACTTTCTATTTGTGTTGAAGCCTCCGCAACTTTCTTATTGTTTTTTTGTTCACTAAGAATTCCTCTTTCTTTCCACCCTTTCATATCCGCATCGAGTCGTTTAATATGGTACGCTAGATCATTTATTATTCCTTTTATTTCCCCTTTTGTGTTTGTACTTTTCCCAACCACTTCTCCCAGTTTGTTTGAAGTTTTTACTACCTTTTCCATTACAGCATGTATTCTAAGTTCTTCCTCTCTTATGCTCCTTATTATTTTCGCTTCCTCCTTTGGTGTGCTAGGTGTACTGTCATCATCCCTCCTTCTCTTTTTAGCTGTCTGTCTCCCACCCATCTTATTTGGCGTACTGTCTTCCTCCATCGTTAAGTCGTATATCTCGCTTGCTCCTATTTCCTCGTCTTCCCATCTTTCAGAAGAGATTGATCCACTTTCGCTGAATCCCGATTTTGGAGTATAGAATTTCTCTTCCTTAACAACATTTTTCCTTGCTTGTTCAGGCGGAGTTCTTGCTAGTGCACCTTTCCTCTTACCTATATCCTGATTTAACCAACTTGAATAATCTACCTCTTTTCCTAACGATCTAGTGGTCTTAGTAGTTGTGTCTGTGACGTTCTTGTCCCCTTCTTCCCTTTTATTCCCCGTTTCTTTGTTATTTTTGTTTTGTTTTGCTTTGTCCATCGTTATTCCCACGAGTTGGGCCGAGTTAATCGTCCGGCGCGGCAGTGCGCCCGTACCGCGCTAAGGCCTAAAAACTCCCCTCCGGTCGGCCTGGTCCTTCGGGCATCGCTCGCGACTCACCATACCCCCTGAGCCATGCATCCCATCGGCGCGATGGTGCTACACCTTAGGATTGGGGGGATTTTTTTTTCGCAGGTTTACTCCTTCGGGTTATTGTTTTTTCAGGGTTTTCCTTCCCTTATCCCATTTAATTCCAGTTATTTATTTCAGACGCCGGAAACTCGCCATAACCCTTCTCCGTTGGCTACGAGACGTACTACAGCAGCACGCCGCGCATTACCAGGGACCACCACGAGGAGGTGGAGATAGGATTTGCCGGTTCGTCCACACAGGACTGCGGGCTCAGCGTTTTATTGTACGGTAAGTATGGGCACCCTACCGCACCTACTGAGACCCACTGGGTCATCCCAGACCCAAACCCGGCCATTTGGTCCCCACCCTACCCTACCCTACCCTACCCTACCCTACCCTACCCTACCCTACCCTACCCTACCCTACCCTACCCTACCCTACCCTACCCTACCCTACCCTACCCTACCCTACCCTACCCTACCCTACCCTACCCTACCCTACCCTACCCTACCCTACCCTACCCTACCCTACCCTACCCTACCCTACCCTACCCTACCCTACCCTACCCTACCCTACCCTACCCTACCCTACCCTACCCTACCCTACCCTACCCTACCCTACCCTACCCTACCCTACCCTACCCTACCCTACCCTACCCTACCCTACCCTACCCTACCCTACCCTACCCTACCCTACCCTACCCTACCCTACCCTACCCTACCCTACCCTACCCTACCCTACCCTACCCTACCCTACCCTACCCTACCCTACCCTACCCCACCCCACCCTACCCTACCCTACCCTACCCTACCCTACCCTACCCTACCCTACCCTACCCTACCCTACCCTACCCTACCCTACCCTACCCTACCCTACCCTACCCTACCCTACCCTACCCTACCCTACCCTACCCTACCCTACCCTACCCTACCCTACCCTTCCTTTTTTTTTTTTTTTTTTTTTTTTTTTTTTTTTTTTTTTTTTTTATGGAAGTGGAAAATGCTCATGCACGACTGGGAAGATGTCCCAGACAGTGTTGGACTCGTACAAAAGTACGCCTACCAACTAAAAACCACTCCCTTCTCCACGCATGCTAGGGGACTAGTCCGGATTCACCAAAACGGCATACGACGGGCTAGACCAGCGTTGTCTTTAACGGATTCTTTCATCCACCTCCTTGATCTTCATTATAGTCACGCTGTAATTCATAATCTCCGTCCAGTTCTCCGAACTTTCGAGCATTACTTCCACTAGATTTCGACTCCCAATCTCTCTTGTGCCCAAAACGTGGTTCAGCCTCTTTCTTTCATCCTCGAATCTTCGACATTCAAACATGGTATGCTCCGGAGTGTCAGCTTTCTCACAGTACATGCATACATCGGTCTCGGTCTTTCCGATTCTTTTAGTATACTGCTTAAAACAGCCGTGCCCTGTTAGGATCTGCGTAAAATAGAAATTCGTATTCCGGTGCCTGCACTTATACCAAACTCTAACGTCCCTTATCAACTGCTTAGTCCAGGCTGCAGTACCCGTATCCCGCAACCATCTCTCCTGCCATTTTTCGAGGGTTATGCTCCTTTGCCTTTCCTTGCTACCCCTATCAGCCTCCCCTCTTCGGCGTTCCTCATGCAACCGACTCCTTTCCTCTATCATGAGATCTATGGGGATAATGCCGCTCACGACGTACAGCGCCTCCGTGGAGGCGGTAACGTATGAACTCGCCACTCCAATCAACAGCTTCCTCTGAGCCCGGACAACCATCTCCCTATATTTCCTATACTTGATCACGTCCTTCCAAATAGGAGCTGCAAACAGAAGAATCGACTCAAATACTCCGTTGTATATTTTTCGTTTCTGCATCGCTGCACCATATGTGTTCGGCATGATTCTTCTGAGTGCAGCTACCAGTGCCTCCCCCTTAGCTGTTGTCTCCTTAATGTGTCTTGTAAACCTCAATCCTCCGTCAATCCAAACTCCAAGGTATTTAACCGCACTCTTTGGTTCTATGGACACGCCGTCTATTTCGAACAGCACCTCCCCCATAGGTCGGCTCCCCTTCACAAATTACCGCCTCTGTCTTCTTCGCAGCCAGCCTTAGCTCGTTCCTTTTCATCCAACGACTGATCTCCCTCAACGAGTCGTTGGTCCTCTCCAAAAGCTCCTCCCTGTTATCCGCCTTAACTACGAGTGCTAGGTCGTCTGCGTACGCGACCGTATAGCACTCCTCCTCTAATTGGAGCCTAAGGACGCCGTCATACAGGATGTTCCACAGGGTAGGCCCAAGGACTGAACCCTGTGGAACACCCTGTGTCACCTTCTTACATACCGACCCAACTCTTATATATCTTTCCTTAAAATAGTTGTCAACGATTTTCCTTAGGTATCTATCTATGCCCGCCCTTTCTAAGTTTTCCAAGATCCTGCTCCAGGTAGCTGTGTTAAAGGCATTCTCGATGTCAAGTAACACAACTGCCTTCCATTTCTCATTCCCGTCATTCACCTTATCCACCAAGAACTCAATCGCATCTACCACTGATTTTCCTTTCCTGAATCCAAATTGTGTGTTTTTTATAATGTTTTTGTTTTCCAGCTGCTCTTCTAGCCTCCTTTTAATTAGGTGCTCGTACACTTTACCTAACACACTGATTAGGCATATGGGTCTGTATGCTTTAGGTGAATCCTGTGAATGCCCCTTCGGGATCAGAACTACCTTGGCTGACTTCCACACCCTAGGGAACTCCTGTGCCTGAACTAGCCGATTATACATACCCAGCACCATGTCTGGCATATGTCTAACCACTTCCTTAAACGCTTCCACCCCTATCCTATCCGGCCCCGGGGCCTTTCCATTTCGTAGTTTTCCTGTGGCTTCGACTAATTCTTCTAACGTGAAACCTTCCACCTCCTGAGCCCTAGCTATCGCCCTTCTCCTATCTATCCTAGTGGGGAATAATAGCCTAATTACCTGCTCCCTCTCTGTGCTATGTATCGCATATAGTGCTGCTGATGTTCTGATTTTCTTAGTCACTATTTTATATCCCTGGCCCCATACGTCATTCTCTACTTCCTCGCACAGTTTCTTCCAGTGATTCTTTTTAGACAGTTCAATTGCTCTTCTATATTCCCGTTTCATCTCCTGATATTCTATTATTTTTTCCCGCACCACCTCATTGTCATTTCTTTTCCGAGCTCTCGTCATACCCCTTCGCGCCCGATTACATAGCACTCTCTTCCGATCTATCTCGTAGCTCCACCAGTACGGCTGTGTACGGTTGTATGTTCTTCTATTCCCTGTCATGGACATATCCTGCGCTATTCTTATGCAATTGGCTATTTTCTCCTCGTCAGTCTCATCATTGTTCATCATCACGAATTTCAGACTTTTTTCAAACTCATCCTTGTTTAGTTCCCTCTTCTCAATCCAGGTCCTGTTGTCCTTTTTAGTGATTCCTATTGCGAATTCAATGTATCTGTGGTGGCTGAAGGGTTCCTCGTCTAGTACTTTCCAATTAGTCACTTTCTTTGCCAAAGATTCTGTTATTAAGGTAATGTCAATATGAGATTTAAAAGACCCCCGTTCAAATGTTACCGTGCCATCATTAACACATGTCAAGTCTAGTGCTTCCATCCATGTCATTAGGTATTCCCCCCTTCGATCATTTTTCGTACTGCCCCAGGTAACGGATTTAGAGTTAAAGTCTCCTAGTACTATTGCTTTCTTTCCCTCCCTTCTGATTTCTGCCATAACCTCGTCGATGAATTCCGTGTATTCCTCAAACCTAACATTCGGAGAACAATAACAATTGTACAGCACCATATCTTCAAAAAATAGCTTAACGTAACCTTGTTTCGTCTGATGCGATCTTATACCTACATTTTTATTCACGCAATATATTGCCACATTTTCCAGCTTATCTCTTATCAGTCCCTTGTTCTTGCTAATCCTTTTGTTCGGTTCCTGCATACAAATCAAGTCAGCCCCTATTCTTGACGCCATAGCTTCCGCTGCATCATGTCCCGATTTCGCCCTTCCCACATTGATTTGTAAAATTTTCATGATTAAATTGTAAAATTGTAAAACACGTATTGTAAAAGACTTCCAGTAGTACACGACACACACATATATCTAAAATAACTGCTCAATATAAAATCTACTTTAACGATATAACACTACCTCTCCTCCTTTCGAAAATCTCCTTCCTTCTCTTAGGACAGTTCATAGAATTCGTTATATGTCCCACCTCCTCACATGTCAGGCAAAATGGGTCACTGTTGCAACCTCTTTGTTGGTGGCCTGCTTTGCCGCATCTCCTGCAGTTATCCCTTCTCTCTGGACCTGTACAGTTAGTAGATCTATGCCCTGTTCCCCAACATTTAAAGCATCTTAGCACATCTATGCGTTCTTCCAGCCGACAATTGATCCATCCAATTTTTATTTCATCTCCCAATTTCCTTCTCATGTCCCTATCGACTCTTAGTGTTGCTTTTTGCGTTCCTCTATATCCTTTCCTTAGGTCCGAAAGAAGGAAGCTATCACTTCCTATTTTTTCCTCCACTGCTCTTGCAACATCCTCTTTAGTTACCGCCTCCATTATGTCATTTATGTGAAACACTACGGGATTTCTTATATCATTCTTCTTTACGTCTGCTCCAGTCTTTACTTTGATCTCCTCTTTTAATTTATCCGCATCCCCCTTTTTAACCTTGAATATCACGTCTCCTCTACTGGTACTCTGGATAGCTCTGATGTCGGCATTGATTTCTGTGATATTCACCTTATCCTTTATCTCTTTCAGCATTTCCGCGAATGTTTCTTTTGTGTTTTTAATGAATAATTCATCAAATTTTCTCTCCCTTTTCTCGTTTCTTATATTGTTTTCGGCGTGGACCATGTTTGGTACTCGGCATTCTATTTCGCAATTTGTTCCCCTGAACACGCACTCTAAAAGCTTTCTGCTCCTCAGCCTGTCAATCCCCTCTGCCACTGCAAATATGAGTTTATACCTGTCCTCTTTCTTCATCAGCTCCCGTAACTCCACCAACAATCCATGCAATTTCCTTTGTTGATTGCTTGTATCTTCGAGGTTTTCGCTAAACGGTATTCCGAAAACATATTTCGTAGATTCCATTACTTCTCCCTTACTCGTCGTGATTTTTGTGCTACTCATTGTATATTTTATTCCCTCCTCCCCTTCTATTATATTCTCCCAAGTTTCCGGGTACCAGTCCATTAATATTTTCCCCAGACCTTTGTCCTTCTTCTGAGGGTCAATGGCAACCGCCAGATCCCATCCCCTATCTCGTTTAATTGGGAATTCAACCACTTCCTTCGTCCTCTCGTATATATCCTCTGGCCATACCTGATCCACCAGTATTTCCACATCCTCATAGCATTTGATTTTTTCAATAGCTTCTGTAACATTAATCATATCCATGCTAACTTGTGTTCCAATTTCCCTGGTCTCTACCTTCGCCGTTTGCACAGCTTTCTCCTTCCCGTCTCTTTTCCGCTGTTCTTCTCCTGCACACTGTACTATTTGAAGATTATCCAGTTCTTTGAGTTTCTGGTCTCCTTTAGTTGTCCATCTCCTTATTTCCTTGGCCTTATCCTTGATTTCATTTTTGGTATAGTTCCCGTGCTTCTCCATGAGGTTACATAGAATTATACTCTCCTTCATTATCCTAGAATATAGTTCCTTAAATTCACTCATTACAGTGACTCCTTTAAGTATTTCGTCCTCTTTACTTTTTTTACCTCTCTGATTTGGAGATTGTTCCTCCCTTTCTCTTTTACCCCTTTGGCCTTTAAAGGTTTCCTCCTCCTCCTCGCTTATGCCTATACTGCCCATTGAGGTTCCCTTAGACAGTTTATATATATCCGATTCAAACGGGTTTTCATCTTGAAAACCTTCCAGTGTCCCTGGGGTAGGTATGTTTTCCGACTCACTCCCACTTTCCACTCGTAATCCTGGTTGACCAGAACTCGTTCCTCTATCTCCTGTGCTCATCCGCACCGGTGAGCGGCGTATTTTATCACCTCTCTTAAAAACTGTTTTTTCTTTCCTCTTCATCTCCTCTATATCTTTCGCTGTTTCCCTCTCTTCATTAACTTCATCTTCAGTATTTTTTTTAGGTTTATTATAAGTTTCTTCCATATGTGTTCCCACGAGTTGGGCCGTCGACAAAGTCCGGCGCGGCAGTGCGCCCGTACCGCGCTAAGGCCTAAAGTCCCCTCCGGGCGGCCTCATCCTTCGGGCATCGCTCGAGACTCACCATTCCCCCTGAGCCATGCATCCCCTCGGCGCGATGGTGCTACACCTTAGGATTGGGGGGATTTTTTTTCGCAGGTTTACTCCTTCGGGTTATTTTTTTTACAGGGTTTTCCTTCCCTGGCCCATGTGCTCCAGATTAGGCGCCGAAGGCTCGCCTGTCACCCTTCTCCATTGGCTACGAGACGTACTCCCACAGCACGCCCCGCATAGCCTGGGACCACCTCGCGGAGGCGGAGATAGGATTTGCCGGTTCATCCGCGAAGGACGAAGGACTTCTCAGCATTTAACAGCACGGTAAGTATGGACAACCCACCGCACCACTGAGGTCCATCCCGACCCTTTGGTCCCGTGGGTTTTTTTTTCAGGGTTTTCCTTCCCTTAGCCAATAGGTTCCCGTTATGGCGCCGGAAACTCGCCTTTCACCCTTCTCCGTTGGCTACGTGACGCGCATCGTAAGATGCGGAACACGCATTACCAGGGTCCACCACGAGGAGGTGGAGATAGGATTTGCCGGTAAGTCTTTTCAAGGCTATCTCAACAGTCCTTTTCAGGACTATTTCAACAGCCTTTTCGAGACTATGGGCCGCATATGGGCGCCTTTGGGCGTTACTCAAAGTTTTATTGCGTCCCGGACATCGGCAATCCGGAACACCTCTGAGACCCAGGTACCAGCCATTCGGACCCCACCCTACCCTACCCTACCCTACCCTACCCTACCCTACCCTACCCTACCCTACCCTACCCTACCCTACCCTACCCTACCCTACCCTACCCTACCCTACCCTACCCTACCCTACCCTACCCTACCCTACCCTACCCTACCCTACCCTACCCTACCCTACCCTACCCTACCCTACCCTACCCTACCCTACCCTACCCTACCCTACCCTACCCTACCCTACCCTACCCTACCCTACCCTACCCTACCCTACCCTACCCTACCCTACCCTACCCTACCCTACCCTACCCTACCCTACCCTACCCTACCCTACCCTACCCTACCCTACCCTACCCTACCCTACCCTACCCTACCCTACCCTACCCTACCCTACCCTACCCTACCCTACCCTACCCTACCCTACCCTACCCTACCCTACCCTACCCTACCCTACCCTACCCTACCCTACCCTACCCTACCCTACCCTACCCTACCCTACCCTACCCTACCCTACCCTACCCTACCCTACCCTACCCTACCCTACCCTACCCTACCCTACCCTACCCTACCCTACCCTACCCTACCCTACCCTACCCTACCCTACCCTACCCTACCCTACCCTACCCTACCCTACCCTACCCTACCCTACCCTACCCTTTTTTTTTTTTTTTTTTTTTTTTTTTTTTTTTTTTTAAGTAGGGGGAAAATGCTCATGCACGCCTGGGAAGGTGTCCCAGGCAGTGTTGGACTCGTTGCCGAGGGCAACGCCTTACCAACTAAAAACCCACCTACTTTTCTCCACGCTATTTGGTCAGCCTCCGGATTCACCTAAAACGGTATGCTACAGAGGGACCAGCGTATCCTACTCGTCCATCGATTCCCTCTCTAAAACTCTCTCGTCCACCTCCTTGATCCTTAAAATTTCCTCTACCATGTCCTGTATGGCTTTCCAATCCTCTTCGTTCCTGAGCATTAATCCTATGATATTTGCTTTCGTGATTTTTGTGTTCGTTTTCCTCTCTGCAGTGCTCCTGAAATTCTCCCACCTCTCGCATTCGAAAATTGTATGCTCCGCTGTATCCTCCTCGCTACAGTACATACATGTCCCATCATCCGTTTTACCTATCCTTTTGACGTAAGCCTTGAAACATCCGTGGGCCGTTAGTGCCTGGGTGAGGTAGAAATTTGTCCTTCGATGGGGACAATCCAACCATTCCTTCACGTTCCTTATTAGAGTTTTGGTCCATGCCGCCACTCCTTCCAAATTGTCCCATCTCTCCTGCCACTTTTCTACGGTTTCCGCTCTCATCCTTGCCTTATTTTTGGATCCTTGTTCTTCACTATTCCATAGCCTAACCCTTTCCTCCACCAGCAGATCGACAGGTATAACTCCTCCGATAACGTACAGAGCCTCCGTAGATGCTGTGACGTAAGAGCACGCTATATGAATTAGCAGCTTGCGTTGCGCTGTAGTCAACATATTCCTGTACCTCCTGTACCGCAGGACCTCTCCCCATACAGGAGCGCCGTACAGGATCGTTGACTGCCAGACGCCATTTAGGAGCCTCCTCTTATTCGTCCCCAGACCACGTGTTTTTGGCATTATTCTTTTTAGGGCCCCTACGAGCCTTTCTCCTTTACAGGTCGCATTCTTTATGTGAGAGGTAAAACGAAGCTTGTCGTCCAACCATATACCTAGGTATTTCACTGCTCTTTTAGGGGTTATCGGTACCCCCGTTCACTTTGAACACGATGTCTTCTCTGCTCGTTTTACCTCTCACAATAACGGCTTCTGTTTTAGCTGCTGCCAGCTTAAGCTTGTTGCTTGACATCCACCTACTAATGTCCTTTAAGGCACGGTTAGTATCATCCATGAGGGTTTTCTTGTCTCTAGCTTTAGACACCAGCACCAAGTCGTCGGCATATGCCACCGTCCAGCAATCCCCCGTCAGCGTCAAACGGAGAACTCCATCGTATAAGATATTCCACAGAGTCGGTCCGAGGACCGAACCCTGCGGAACTCCTTGGGTCATCTTTAGGTTCTTCAACCCCGTGTTTATTTGCCGATTCCTAAAGTAGTCTTCAACGATTTTAATCAGGTAAGTACTAATGCCCGCATCTGCGAGGCACCTCAGGATGATACTCCAGGTCGCCGTATTAAAGGCATTTTTTATGTCAAGCAGCACCAGTGCTGCCCACTCCTTCCTTCCTTCCCTTGCCTTCTCGCATACCCAACTGACCGCATCAAGGGTTGACATACCCTTTCGAAATCCGAACTGTGAGTCAGATAGTACGTTTTTTCCTTCCATTTCCTCCTCTAGTCTGCCTTTAATAAGGTGTTCATACAGTTTGCCCATCACACTTAGCAAACAGATCGGTCTGTATTGACCGTTCTGTTTGGGGATCAGAACTACCTTCGCCGCCTTCCAGCAGTTCGGAAATTGCTGCCTCTCTAGTAGTTGATTCATCATATCGAGGATCACGTCTGGGATTGTGTCCACGGCTTCTTTCATCGCATCTACCATTATACGGTCAGGCCCTGGGGCTTTTCCACTCTTTAGCTTCTCTGCAGCAATGGATAGCTCTCCTCTCGTGAATTTCTGGACGTTTTGGCCCATTTCGTAACTCCTCCACTTATCTGCCTTCGTAGGGAACAGTTCTAGAATTATACGGTGTTTTTCGTCTTTATGTAATTCGTACTGCGTTCTTGATGTTCTTAGTTTTTTAGTTACGATTTGATAACCCAATCCCCAAACGTCTTCTTCCAGCTCTTCACAGAGCTGCCTCCATTGCTGCCTTTTGGCCGTGGACATCGCCATCCTATATTCTTTCTTTGCCTTTTTGTATTTTTCGCTGAGGTCTTCCACTTCTGCGATGTTGGGTCGTGGTTTTCTCCTCCTCGCTCTCGTTAGCAGCCTTCTTGCTGCGTTGCAATGCGTCCTCAGCTCCTCGATATGATGATTCCACCAGTATGGTTGCGTTCTTCCTTGCGTTCTTCCTTGCGTTCTTCTTTGCGATGTAGCAAACTGCTGTGCCGCCTTTATTGCTTCCGTCAGACTAGTTGGGTTAGCCTCCTTTCCCTGACAGGTGATTAGTAGGCATTCTCTAAACTCCTGTTTGTGGATTGGTGTGCGCTCAATCCAGCTCGTCCGTACTATCTTTCTCTCCAGTTCGAAGGTCACATACTTATGTCCACTGAATGATTCCTCCTCCACCAGTACTTTCCAATCCTTGATCTTTTTTATGATATCCGATGTTGCCATGGTTAAGTCCAGGTGAGATCGGATACCCCTCCTTTCGAAAGTCGCCTCCCCATCGTTCAGCACTGTTAGGTCCAAAGCTTCCATCCACTCAGTCAGATATTTACCCTTTTTATCGGTGTTTGGAGATCCCCAAATAACCGATTTCGAATTGAAATCTCCCAGGATAATCACCTTGTTTTTCTGTGTCCTGACATCCCTCATGACCTCGTCGATGTACGCCTTAAACTCCTGCAACCCGATGTTCGGAGAGCAGTAGCAGTTATATAGAACCATATCCTGAAAGCAGATCTTCACGTAACCCTGTCCCGTTTGATGTTTCTTTATTCCCATATTTCTGTTTACACACCATATTGCCACATCCTCTCTTTTATCCAGTATCCACCCCTTGTTTCTACTAATCCTCTGATTTGGTTCTTGCACACACACAAGATCTACTCCCGTCCTTATTGCCATGGCATCGGTAGCGTCATGTGCAGCCCTTGCGCGATCTACGTTGATCTGTAACACCTTCAGCATTGTAAAATGTATGTATAGATAAATAAATATATGTGTAAATAAATATATGTGTAAACAAATAAATATGTGTATAAATATGATCCTTTTTTCTCTCCTCCTTTCTTCTTCTTCCTTTCTTTTTTTTTATTTGTTTTTGTTTTGTTTGTTTGTCTAGTCTTTGATTGTCTGCTGTCCTCTCTGAGAATCCGAGATCTTACGGTAAGGTGTTCCGCTTATCGACCCTCTGCTTTCCCTTCGTATTCTTTCCCTCCTGTCAAATACCAGCTTTCTCATTACGGGACAATTCATCGAGTTCGTGGTATGTCCTTCCTTTTCGCAGGTAATACAATAAGGATTGCTTTGGCATTCTCTTTGTAGATGACCTTCCTTCCCACATTTCAGGCAGTTATTTTTCCTTTCCTGTCCCTCGCAGTCCGAAGCTCTATGTCCAACTCCCCAGCATTTGTAACATTTACCTACATTAATCCTCTCCTCCAGTCTGCAGTTGATTATACCTATTTTTACGTTGTCTCCCAATTTTTGTCTTGCCGATTTATCTATCACGAGTGTTATCGTTTTGGTCGAATTCGATGCCGGTCTTAATCTGGACAATGTGAAGTACACGTCCCTACCTACTTTCTCTCTTACCCCGTTTTCCACGTCCTCTTCCGTCGCCAGTTCGTCTATATCCCTGATATGGAATACCATCTGTCTCCTTCTGGGGATACTGGATTTCGCCGTGAGCTGAACCTGCTCCTTAAGTACCTCCGTAAGTCTATTTCCCCCTCCTGCCTTAACCTTAATCATCAGGTCTCCTCTGTTCGTTTTTTGCATTCTCCTAACGTCAATTTCCTTGTTATCAATTGCTACCTTGGTCTTTATGGTTTTTAACATATCCGCGTACGATCCTTCATTACCTGTTCTCACAATAACCGTATCCATTTGAAATTTCTTACCTATCATCTGTTTGTCTATTGGTGTTACTATGTTTGTTTTAATCCTTGTCCTTCGGCTTGCACATTCGAGAAGTTTATTTAACTTCTCTCTGTCCAGGTCGTGTGTTATCTCCACTGTTACCTCATTACAATTCCTCTTGCAACCTTTCAACACCCCTTCCAGTTTCTTATATGTTTCCTCGCACACTACAGAGTCCCCAGTGACTGGCTGCATGTATACTTTCTTAACCGTTGTTTTAGCTCCTGCCCTCGATGTGATTGTTTGAGTGTTGCCCATCTCTTCCGTGTCACCTTTACTAGTCTTTATCATTTCCTTAAAACCTGGGAATACCGTTTCCAACTCTAGTCCCTCCCCGTCTGACCTGTCCCTTCTATGGTCGAACAGGTATACAAAGGTGTTGTCCTTATAGGTGTCTTGGGTTTTCTCCACTTCTTTTATCGCTTTGTATGTCGCCTGTGGCCAGTGTCTATTCATCAGCGGCTCCAGGTCTTGATATTCTACAACCCGGTCTACTTGTTCACTAATTTCCTTACTTTCCTTTTCTTCCTCTTCCTCATTTCCCGACAGGTAAGTTTGTGTTCCTACTGTGCAGGTTTTAACTTCCTTCCTCGGCTTTTCTTCCCTACGCGTGTGCCTCTCTTGTTCTACCTCTATAAGTGTCATTTCTCCCTTCTCCGCCCATCTTCTCATCTCCTTGACGTGATCCTTAATTTCCATCTTCGTGTAATTCCCGTGCTGACGTATTAAATCGCTAAGAATCTTCGCTTCGGTCATTATCTTTTCGTACATTTTTTTAAACTCGTTTAGTTTATTGCTTCCTTCCTTATCCTCCGAAACCTTCGTTCCTTTATCTTCTTTAATCTTTTTCTTCCCTTTCTTCGGTGACATCTGCTCCCTTTCCCTTTTCCCCTTTTGTCCTTTAAAAGCGGGCCTTGCATCTTCATCGCTTGAGAATAATTCCGAAGCCGATGCGTTGCCTGACAGCTTGTAGATAGCTGATACGAACGGTTCCTCGTCCGTAAATCCCTCCATTGTCCCAGGAGTCGGTAATTCGTCCGAAACAGATTCCTGCCTCCTTAGTGCAATCCTAATCTCCTTTACCGATTTGCTGGTCTCTCCTTCCTCATTGTTACCGGTTTTCCCACCGGCTGGTGCGTCGGGAAGCGGGGGCGTTCTCGCCAAGGCCTTCCTTGGCTTGAACGCCTTATCGCCGTCCGTCGGCTTTACCGAATCTATCGAAAATTTGCCCCCCCCAGAATCCGTGGGGCAGTCCGACATCGCGGAGGGGGATTCTGGACCTTCGGTCCTACCCCCCTGGGGTAATACGTTGCGAATTTCCGACATTTCATAGTTATTCTGGTTTTTTTTTTCAGGGTTCCCCTTCCCTTAGCCCATGCGTTCCAGTTTAGGCGCCAGAGATTCGCCATCACCCTTCTCCGTTGGCTACGAGACGTACTTCCACAGCACGCCGCGCATTACCAGGGACCACCACGAGGAGGTGGAGATAGGATTTGCCGGTTCGTCCACACAGGACTGCGGGCTCAGCGTTTTATTGTACGGTAAGTATGGGCACCTCACCGCACCTACTGAGACCCACTGGGACTACTGCGTCCCAAAACCCGGCCATTTGGTCCCCACCCTACCCTACCCTACCCTACCCTACCCTACCCTACCCTACCCTACCCTACCCTACCCTACCCTACCCTACCCTACCCTACCCTACCCTACCCTACCCTACCCTACCCTACTTTTTTTTTTTTTTTTTTTTTTTTTTTTTTTTTTTTTTTTTTTTTTTTTTTTTTTTTTTTTTTTTTTTCCCAGGAGAAAATGCATTATGCACACCCAGCGGTTGGTCGACTGGGTAGTGTGGGACTCCCACCCACTAAAAACTCCTGGGGGCGCCAGCCAATGGTTTCACTTTGTGGCATCTGGAACCATCCTCTCGGATATATCTTCAGATGCCACGGGCGTTCCTACAAGTGCCTCTATTCCTCTTCACGTTCGCACTGCTGTCTAATTCTCTCTTCCTCTTCCTTTTTCTTCATGATTTCTGTTATGAAGTCCATGATAATACTCCAGTTTCCTGGACACTCCATCATAATTGGAACCATGTTTTCCATATTGATTTCCCTTCCCAATGCCAGCCTCAACTTCAATCTGCTGTCTCCCCATCTTTCACACTGTACCATGGTATGCTCTACCGTGTCAGATACCCCGCAGTATGCACAGTTGTCTCCTATATCCTTACCTATTCTTTTCGTATACACTCGGAAGGATCCGTGTCCGCTCAGGATTTGCGTGAGGTAATAATTGATATTTTTGTGTCTACAGTCCACCCACTGTGTGATGTCTGGAATCAGTTTTTTTGTGTGTTGTGCTACGTCCGTTGTCTCTGCCCATTTTTGCTGCCATTTTTTAATGGTTCTGGACCTCTCCTCCCCTCTAGTAGCTTCAGTTATTACCTCCGTTTTCCTCCGAGTATACGTCCGGTACCTTTCTTCCACTAACAGTTCAATGGGGGGTATTGCAGCGATCACGTTTAGTGCTTCTGAAGAGATGGTGCGATATGCGCTTATGGTTTTAATCAGCATTTTTCTTTGCATGCCCCTTAGCATGTTCCTGTATTTTTTAAAACCCATAGCTTTGTGCCATATGGGCGCTCCATATAATAGAATCGAGTGGACTACCGAAGATAGCACTCTCCTCTTTTCGCTGCTGGGGCCATCGATTCTAGGCATAAGACTAGCTAGAGCGGCATATGAACGATAGGCTTTTTCTACGGCCATCTTGACGTGCTGGTTGAAATATAGCTTATCGTCTATGTAGATTCCTAGACACCGGACCACTCTGGATGGCCGGAAGTCGTAGTTTCCGATCGTAAAAACTATGTCATCCCTTTTTCTCCGTCCTTTAAAAACGACTGCCTCTGTTTTCTCTAAGGCGAGGGTGAGGTCTTCCGAGACCATCCAGAAGTTAATCCATTCTAGGACCATATTCACTTTATTTATAAGGTCTCCCCTGGTGTTCGATTCGACGATTAAGCTTAGGTCGTCAGCGTAAGCTACGGTCTTACAGCCTGGCGGTAATTCCATCTCCAGCACCCCATCGTACAGGATATTCCACAGGACCGGTCCGAGAACCGAGCCCTGCGGAACACCCTGCTCCACCGGGATGCTTGTGTTCCCCGTAAAAATCGTTCTATTACCAAAATAGCTTCGTATTAGGTTAATCAAATACCTAGACACTCCCTTTTCTTCCAGTTTACGTAGGATTCGGTCCCATTTCGCGGTATTGAAGGCGTTCTTGATATCTATACACACGAGGGCAGCCCACTCTTCTCTGCCAGTTCTCAATATTTCTTCGACGGCCTCGACAGTAGATTTGCCACTCTGGAATCCATACTGATGCGGTGATAGGGTTACTTCCTCTTCCAGCCTTATTTTGATTAGTTGTTCGAGCAGCTTTCCTAGAACGTCCAACAAGCAGATGGGTCTGAACTTTCCATCCTTCGGATCTCCTTTAGGGATAAGTATTACTTTCGCCCTCTTCCACGTGTCCGGGTATTTCTGACTTTTAAGGATGGTATTATATACGGTCAGTATTTCTTCCGGTATCACCTCCACCGCTAATTTACATGTCTCAGCCGTAATCCCGTCCGATCCTGGGGCTTTTCCATTCTTTAATTTCTTAGCCGCCTGCACTAGTTCCTCTCTGGTAAAATCCTCATATTGATCCGTAATGCCCCCTCCTGCTACATTAGTTTTCCATCTTGGAAAAAGATCTTTTACTATTTCTAATTTTTTAGTATGGTCTAAATTATATGGGGAAGTCTGCTTTTTTAACCCCCTTGTAGCAATCCTGTATCCCTCTCCCCAAACATCGTTGTCTATTTCCTTACACTTTTCTCTCCACTTATCTCTTTTAGCCTTGTTTATTAGCCGTCTATACTCTTTTCTTGCTTCGTTATATGCTTCTAAGAGACTCCTCCACTGTTCTTCTCTTACCCCATTTCTCCGTCTAGCCCTTTGGGTATCTCGTCTTGCCCTGTTACACCTCATCCTGGCATCCTTTACATCGTCATTCCACCAGTAAGGTTGTGTTTTCCTTCCTTTCCGCTTTCTGCCTTCACATTTCTTTTGTGCTGTTCCGAGAACCCTGACCATTTTTTTGTATGCACCATCGATTTCATTTCCCATTTCCTTCAACAGACTCCTAATTTTGGTTTTGTCTATTGCGTCGGCTTGCACGGTGGACATGTTCTCCCTCTTTTTATTCGCTCCTCCTTTGTAGAGAGCCTCCATTAAGATAAATCGATGATAACTCAGCGATTCCTCGTCCAGAACTATCCATGTTTTAACAGAATCTATACCCTTCTCATTACACAGAGTTATATCGATTATCGTTTCGGAGGCACCTCTGACAAAGGTAGGAGTTTTTCCATCGTTCCTTACATGTAGGTGTAACGCGGCTATCCACTCTTCCATGTATTTTCCCCTCAGATCTTCCTTCCCGGGGCTCCATAGGTAGGATTTTGAGTTGAAATCTCCAGCAACGATTACCTTTGATTTCCTGTCCTTCTTCACATCCTCCATAACGCTGTCTACATATGTCCTGTAAGACTCCATGCTGATATTGGGAGATACATAGCAGTTGTATATAACCCATTCTTGTAGGTAAATCTTAATATACCCCCTATTACTCCTATGTTCCCGCACCCCCACGTTTTTGTTTCTGAATTGGACTGCAACCACCTCCTCTTTATCCATTATTAGTCCTTTTCTTTTCGATAGATTTATATTGGGTTCTTGATATAGTACTATATCGACTCTCTTATTTTCAGCGGTCGCTTCCGTCACATCATGGGATCTTCGGGATCTGCCTACGTTTATTTGGAGGAGTTTCATCACGTTGGAACAGGTAAATATAAAACAGGTAAGTATAAACAGGTAAGTATAAACAGGTACGTATAGACACTAGATAAGTACAGATAAATAAATAAATAAACAAAGTAGGTATAAATAGGTAGACTCGATATTAAATAAAATATGTATAATAAAAACCTTATGTATAAGTATATGTATATATCACAGTAGGAACTATCACAGTTATATCACAGATTTGTTTACAGGTTGTTCATTCTTTCCCTGATCTATATCTGATTTTTCTTCGCCTTGTCTTTCGCATTCCATGTCCTTATGCTCTTGTATGTCTTCGTCTATCTTAGTTCCTGCGGTTTCAGTGTTATTTTCGCCCTGGTCCTCTCGGCTTACACTAGGCCTACTTAGAGTCCTTCGGTACGTAATTCTTTCAGCTTTGAGGGCTGCTCTGAATGCAGGGCATTTATTTGTATTCACTCTGTGTTCTTTATCCTCACACAGAGGACATTCTTCCTTCTCGCAGTCCTTCGCCTTATGCCCTGGCTTCCCACATTTGAAGCAATGGGTACTTCTGTCCGGCCCGTTGCAATTTTCTTGTGTGTGGTCATATGACCAACACCTCCTGCACCTTTTGATGTTTAGTTTTTTTTCTATATTACATCTCACTATTCCTATCTTCACGTACTCTTTTTCCAATAGGCGCTGTGCTGTATTGTCATCCACTGCTATCGTCACCGCTTTCGTCTTATTACCCATCTCTCTTAGGTCGCTAATCGTAAATCCATTTTCCCAAGCCCCTACAGTCTTAGCTATAGCTTCCGTTACATCTTCCTTAGTCGTATTAGTGGTCATACCTCGGATATATAACACCGTTCCTCTTTCGCCTAGCACCCTGGTTTTTAAACCTGCCATATCCAAAATTTTATGTAGTTTTTGGAACTCTTCCTTCTCTTTGTCGGTCGTTACCAGCATCTTTCCGTCCCTAGTACATCTTACTGTCCGTACCACCTTGGCTGATTCCTGTGCCCCTATTGCTGTTTGGACCTTTTCCAGGACTTCTTTGTATGTCTTTTCTCCGTCTCCTATTATTAAACCTAAGGTGTTTCTTTCCTTTCTCTCCTTCCGGTTCTTGGTTGTATATATTTCCGCTTTAAT